TACAGGTAATAAATATTATACTATAGGCCTTGGGCCTAGGCTTTTGTATGGTTAGGTTTATACTGTGTAGGCCTAGGCCTAGCTAGGTTAATGATCAAAAGTACAGTACAAGCATATCCTTCAATTGTAAAAACAATATTAATCATACTTATATTCTTTCAAATTCTATGTCAAACACATCCATGAATCCTTCAATATAAAAATAAATCCAAAGCTTCCTTTTATAAATAAAACTGTAAAGTTTTGTACTATTGCAACATACATGCTGTACCAATAATGTCTCTGCACTGAATGAACTTGAAACTGTTGCGTACGCTGTGTATCACATTTCGCGCTTTTTAACAAATTATAACATTGTTACAATTTATTGTTATGTTCCTCCCCTATAGTAAACATCTTATTATTCAGGGATCAACTAAATAAACTTCCTCAATGTCTTTATATTGCAAAAAACAAACCATACTGTAAAATAGTAACTATTTTATGCATCAAATTTTTTAAAATTTGTTCAATTTTTTTAATACTATTCTTTCAGGCCTATTGTTTTTTTAATTTGTCCTCATCTTCTGGTTTATTCCACTCCAATTATTATTGTATAATTATTATTTTTATTTATTTTACCCTCCTATATTAGAAAAAGTGGACCAAATAATTTGCTCTTGGTTGGGTTTTGGAAATATTATTTTGTTCAGCAATAAAATTAATATTTATCATTCTTCTAAACTATTTGTTCAAAAACCAGTTATAAAATATAAGCTTATAGCAGTGGTAATCTAGTTGTGTAGCAGTGGGAAGAAAGACCCACAACTCTCCATTCCACAACTCAGTTCTCCGCCACCATCTGTTCGTTCAGCATTTAGCATACAGAGAAAGATGTAGCAATAGCTAAACATCTTTCAAGATTTAGCAGTCTCACATAAACAAGAATCTCAAACCAAAAGGCTCTTTTCAGAGCCGTTATTTAAGCAGTTGTGTAGTCTGAGTTTTTTTTTAAATTTTTTATTTCATTTAATTTGTTCACTCACATACACATACATAATACGGTACAACAAAAAAAAAAACTTAATAGTAAAAGAAATAAGAATAATATTACATTAAATAATAAGTGTATAGACATTAAGAGGCCAAAATAAGTTTAGAATCAAACTTTAAGCCATGACCACCAGTTAAAATTATATTAGGCATACATCAATAAAATATTATAAATACAATTTAATAATAAATACATAATAAAGTTGAATTAAGGCAGTGTGTCAATTATTCATTAATTTGACCAAAATGTCAAGTTTACAAACAAGCACATAGCAATTATAACACTACACACTACAGTAATTATTTGTAGAAGTCTAATGAAGATAAGCCTATCCAATAGTGATGTTAAAGAGTCGAAACCAGGACATAACTCCAACTTTAGATTGACAATGATTGAAAAATGTTAAATACAGGCACAATGTATACATCCTATGTAACAGAGTCCAGTTAGAATATGTAATTATGTATCAAATTGATATATTATGATTACTGTACTATTATTATTATTATTATCATATACATACATACATACAAATATATATTTGTATATTTTCTTATAAGTCATATAATTCAGCTTGTCAGACGGTCTTTAAGGCACAATGCTACACCACCTTCGTTAGACCCACTCTTAAATATGCCTCTGCCGCTTTGTCTCCTCACACACAAGCCAATATCAATATACCTGTATATATACAGTATACACTTTTGTATTAACAAAATAACATTATTTAATTCAAGATTTGAAAAGGATGACATTTATCAATGATGTTTTAATAATTCCGCATGAAGGGCGATGCAAAAATGGATCCGTATTTGATGGAATCGAGGCATTTTGTATGTTTTTTTTATCGTTTTGCGTATCATGTCGATATGCAGACATGGTTCCAAACTTCGGTCGGTCATAACAGAGTTGTTTTTGGCAACGTGCAAAATCTTGGACATCATTATTTACGACAATTGTAACCATCTTTTGGAAACTCTCCAACAGCCATGACTTGCTCCAGGTAAGCTTCAAGAATTTTGTAATGTTATTCAAACTAAGGGCGCATCGCTCAACAACTGTGGGGGGGGGGGGATTCATAGATGCGACCGTTCGACCCATTTGTAGACCTGTACAGTCGCAAAGAATTATGTAAAATGGACATAAAAGAATTCATGGTAATTAATTTCAGTCTGTTGTCGCTCCGAATGGATTAATCGCAAACCTCAGTGGGCCCTATGAAGGTAGGAGGCATGATAGTGGCATGCTGGCTGAATCACAATTATTACTCCAACTTGAAGAATTTTCAAATGGGCCAAATGGTAACGTTTTGTGTCTTTATGGGGATCCAGCATACCCTTTGAGGAGGCATTTGCTTGGTCCCTACAGAAAGAGAGCGCAGCGCCCACTAACGGAATTAGAAGAGCAATTCAACGAAGAGATGAGTGCTGTCAGAGTTAGTGTGGAATGGGCTTTTAAAGAAGTATTGAACTTCTTTAAATTTATTGATTTTAAGAAGAACTTAAAAATGAACTTAAGTGCTGTTGGCAAGATGTATTTGGCTGTCTCTTATACACATCTAGATGTGTATAAGAGACAGGTCTGTTGTCGCTCCGAATGGATTAATCGCAAACCTCGGCTCTTCGAATTATATTTGTAGCTAAAAATATTTGAATTGAGCATCTCTTTTACTAAATCATTGTCCATTTCTTCATCCCATCTAAATAGGAAAAAATAAATTTAAATTCATTGAAAATTATTATAAATGGCATTTGTTGATAAAGTTTACTCAAGAATAAAGTTCCATTATTGCATTAATCAACATTACGTTACATACATTTAATTTGAGGGGCTTAGTATTTGAGGTCATCATAATAGTACTCATTTTTAAGAGATACATTAAGTCTTCATTTTATTAGTAGAAAAAAAGAAATAAACAATTAAGATGTTTTTTATGGTGCAAAGTAAAAAAAAACTTTAATAAGTTTGAGTTAAATATTGGCAGTGGTATTGAAGGAATATATACGGTAGTATTTGTTCATTTACAATGACATATCACTAATACCTTTTGATCTTTTTTGTTGCTGATTCTTGATCTGCTGATGTGGTCAATGATGCAAAAAGCTGTTGGATAGAGTTGATTCCAGAACTTGCAGTTGTAGTGGGGAGAGTACTATCGAACGTTATTAATCTGAAAAAGTAAAATCAATGAATATTTACTAACTTAGGTACAGTATGTCATTTATTTTTTAGGCCCTAGCCTAGCCTTAGGCCATGCCTAGACTAGGCCTAATTATAGGAATAATAAATAGGCCGATGCATCTGCTTTTTCGTATCTAATTTATTTTTATATTTTTTCTTCAATCCATATATTCTTGTAGGGCTTTATGTCTTCATGTAGTAGTATAGTAGTAGTGGTAGTATGTAGGATACTAGGCCTAGACCTACATAGGCCTAATATAGACCTAGCCTAGGCCTATACTACTAGGCCTAGGCTAGGCCTTTATATAGGCCTACACTATATTATTAATTAGGCCTAGGCCTATGGGTGGGCGTTCGCGAAGTTTAGATATGGATATTGATCGAAGCCTTACGTTATTTTTACTCTATGAAAGCAAACAAAAATAAAAGTGATAGGCCTACCTATACCATTACCATTATCAATCATTGAAACAAAAGTAATCATATTCATATATAACGTTTAAACTATTTTCTAGCCATATTTTCTTGGTGAACAACAGAACCCAGCAAGATCGCGAGCTTGAAAACGAATCTAGTGTTGACCTGGTGTTGACACGATCGACTGCCAATTGACGTACTGTGATTGGTCAGAAGTGTATGTCTGTGACGACGGATTCCCGGCTGATTTCACGTCCTCTACGAATGAACTCGACGAAACCCAAGCATTATAAATATAATTACGCATGCGCA